CCAGTGGCATGATGGGAAATAACAGTGGGCCCACTGAGAAGTCCTATAGCAGTGGGCCCACTGAGAGGTGGGAAAATGCCTAACAACAGCTGCCATGGAGTTGGGTCCTTTTATTCCTCTGTTAATTTTTTCTTTTCTTTCCTTTTCGTTTTTTTTCTTTTCAGAAATAGGGTCTCACTTTGTTGCCCAGGCTGCATTGCAGTGACAATCATAGCTCACTGCAATCTTGACCTCCTGGGCTCAAGCGATCCTCCCACCTCAGCCTCCTGAGCATGGGACCACAGGTGTGCGCTACCATGCCTGGCTAATTTTTTATTTTCGTTTTTATTTATTTTTTTATAGATAAGATCTCATCCTGTTGCCCAGGCTAGAGTGCAGTGGTGCCATCATAGCTCGCTTGCAGCCTCACACCCCTGGGCTCAATTCATCTTCCTGCCTCAACCTCCCAAGTAGCTGGGACCACAGGTGCCAATCACCATGCCTGGCTAATTTTGTTGTTGTTATTATTATTATTATGTTTTTGTAGACATGGGGTCTCACTATGTTGCCCAGGCTGTCCTTGAACTGAGCTCAAGTGACCCTCCTGCGTCAGCCTCCTGAAGTGTTGGGATTACAGGTGTGAACCATCATGGATGGCCATTAATTATTAAGTTACAAAAGGAATACGTGTCAGTTGTAACTAGTAAGGTGGTGCTGGCGTGAGTAAGGGTGGGTTAGTGATCCCTCACGACCCTTGTTGGACACCCAGCATGTCCTTCCAGGACACTATCCCTCCTCAGGACGTAGATGCATGGCTGCTGTTAGTGTTTGTGTCAGGGATGCAGTGACTGCAGACACTTAGGAACTTCCAGTCCTTAAAAGGACAGCTTCCAGCCGGGCGCGGTGGCTCAAGCCTGTAATGCTAGCACTTTGGGAGGCCAAGACGGGCGGATCACGAGGTCAGGAGATCGAGACCATCCTGGCTAACACGGTGAAACCCCGTCTCCACTAAAAAATACAAAAATACTAGCCGGGCGTGGTGGCGGGCGCCTGTAGTCCCAGCTACTCGGGAGGCTGAGGCAGGAGAATGGCGTAAACCCGGGAGGCGGAGCTTGCAGTGAGCTGAGATCCGGCCACTGCACTCCAGCCTGGGCGACAGAGCGAAAAAAAAAAAAAAAAAAAAGGACAGCTTCCTAGGCCAGAACTTCAGGGTCCCAGCCCTGTGTGTGTTTCAGGGAGTCACGTCTGCCCCACAGAGGACCCGAGGGGCCTCCCATGCAAAGGCCAAGTGCCATGGAAGAGGGTGGTATGTGGGACCAGTGGTAGTGGGAGGTGGGAAGGGAGGCAGGAGGGCTGGTCACCTGGACCCTCACCCTGAAGGCAGGTGGGGTTGAAGCCAGGTGTGATAGGGTACATTTTGTTGACTAAAAAGAAAGAGGCTGAAGCACAAAATGTGATTTAAACAGTCTACTTGGCCGGGCACGGTGGCTCATGACGGTAATCCCAGCACTTTGTGATTTAAACAGTCTACTTGGCTGGGCATGGTGGCTCATGACGGTAATCCCAGCACTTTGGGAGGCCCAGGTGGGAGGATTGCTTGAGCCCAGGAGTTCCAGACCAGCCTGGGCAACATAGTGAGACCTCGTCTCTACAAAAAAATACAAAAATATTAGCCAGGCATGGTGGCAAACCTATGGTCCCAGCTACTTCAGAGGCTTAGGTGGGATGATTACCTGAGCCTGAGGAGGTTGAGGTTGTAGTGAGCTGTGATTGTACAACTACACTCCAGCCTGGGCAACAGAGTGAGACCCTGTCTCAAAAATAAGTAAGTAAGTAAGTAGTCTACTTGAGCCAGGATAAGGGCAGTTGCCCAGAAAACTCAGCCCCAAGGAACACTGGGTCTGGGCTCCATGTGACCTTTGTTCCAGGCAGGTTTTTAAAGGCCAAGAAGAGGGAGTGGGCACAGGCTGATGTCAGGCTGTTGGTTGGGAATCCTCTTTGGTTGATGGAAATACCGTTGATTGGCAGCAGTGGGCTGAGCACTGGTGTGGGTATTGTCTGCGGCAGCTTGTTAGGTTAGTTCTCAGCTACCTGTGGCGGCAGCAGGCAGTTTCCAGAGATGAACACAGCTCAGGGGGAGAGCAGGGCATAGCTGCTGCCTCATTTGAGGTCTCTGGGGGCCTGATCCCTGAAAAGGACTTACCTTCCTCTGATAAGTTCTTTCGTTTCCCCAATTTTGACTTATTTTCTTGACTTTGCGTCATTTTCTCGCTAGAAAGTAACTTCTGTGCCAGCGTAGTGGGGAACCGAGGTTAAGGGTGGAGAAGAGTGAGGCTGTGGGAGACACTGCAGGAGAGCAGCTCGGCCTGGCCCCAGGCAGTGGCCACCGACAGAGCTGGAGTAGAGCGGCACCATGGGTGTTATGAGGGGGGTGACCAGTTGCATGGTGGGTGACTACAGAGAGTGGAGAACTGAGGATGTTCTGACTTTTCTAACCTGGGAGATTGGGTTTGTCGTGGCACCTTTAAGACAGGAACTCCAGAGGCCGAGCTGGAATAGGGGGCAGGGCAGGATGCCAGTTCCAGGTGCCTTGGAGAGCCCTTAGGGGTATCCAAGAGACAGGTGGAAATACAAGCTCTGGAGGTCAGAAGCTGGGTCAGTGCCCTGAAGCCAGTACTTTGGGAGTTGGGAACTTATTGACATAGAGATGTTAGCTGAAGAATGTAAAAGAGGTGAGCTCAGATCTGAACCCAGGGCCCAGCAGGTAAGGGGTGGGCAGGAAGTAAGCTCACCAAGGAGCCTCCAGTGCCCTCTGTCATCGTTAATAGTGTCAGCCCTGGCCCCATCAGCTAGTCCACTCCCCCTGCTCTCTTTTTTTTTTTTTTTTTTTTTTTTTTGAGATGGAGTTTCGCTCTTGTGGCCCAGGCTGGATTACAATGGCGTAATCTCTGCTCACAGCAACCTCCGCCTCCCAGATTCTAGTGATTCTCCTGCCTCAGCCTCCCAAGTAGCTGAGATTACAGGCATGCGCTACCACGCCCGGCTAATTTTGTATTTTTAGT